ATCAGAAAACGGCAATGTCGTCAAATTTCTGAGCACACAGACAAAATCAGGACAGTTCCATTTGTTGTTTTGGTCACATTTTATTGTACATTGCCATTTTTTTTCATCATCTTATACCCAAGCAGTACAACAATTTACTTTAAAAAATATAAACTATAATGGGGGCGAAATATAAATGTGCCGTGAACCTTTTCCATAAGGTCGTACATACAGTCATTTCCTGGGTCAAAAACCCTGGATGAAATGTGAGTGTCAATCAAACCCTCATTGTTAAAGACCATCCAACTCTTTAAAATTCACAAGGCAAAAATGACACCAGTCCTGTGGCAACTACTTTGCTACATACATCTCTGTGAAATGTGAAGAACCCAATTTAGTCTACATGTTATCCTGCTTCCCTGTGTGTTATTTATTACGGTCACAAACAAAAACCCGCTCTAACATTGATTGACTGGAGGAAATAAAGCCACAAAATAAAGAACAAAAAATCTGTACACTAAATTAGTCCACTTATTATTCAAGACCATGTGATCTGACAAGAGCAGCCCTGAGCACCTCCCAAACGTGAGGACATAATTATGAAACAGTAAGCCATCATTTCATTGGTTTCTCTTGCACAAGGCTAACAGGAGGGATGTTGGTCGTTGGTGGATAATGAACTCCTGCCGTTAAAAGAACATCGTCTTTGATCACATGTTTTAATGAATAATTGAGGAGGACACAGGTGATTGTAGGGTCCATCAATGTTCCGGTCTGCGACTGGAGAGAGGCTGGACTTTGATTGGTTTGTGAGAAGGACTTGGAGATGACAAGCGGCAGCTGAGGCACAGACGAAGAAGGAGGAGGATGAGGAGGTGGTGGAGGAAGTGGTGGTAGAAGGTGGGGAGGCTTCAACAGAAGCGCTGGATTATAGTGAGGCCCACTGCGATGAGGGGCATCAAGGAGAAGAAGGTGCCGTCATGCAGAGTGACGCCCGCTCCAGTAGGTGCAGAGGTGGAGTTGGTGGAGTTTCCATTGGTGGGTGTGACCATGGTGGAGTTCATGGGGCTGGAGGTGGAGTTGTTGGCAGGTGTTGTATTGTTCTGAGAGAGCACCTGCTGGAGGAGAAGTGGAGAAAACAAATGTTTTTCTTACAACTGTAAGACTGTCAATGTTTTTTTAAGCAAAAAATGAATCTTTATTCAGGATTGTTTGTTTTTTTTCGATATGATGAAGTAAGTTTTTAATTCTTTTCTCCCCCCAATACTTTTTACATAATTTTTTTAATTCTTTTCTCCCCCCAATACTAAATTCATTTCACTTCCTATTTATCAACATATTTATCTTATATGTAAAACCTGTCTCCACCTGCACTGGGAATCAGAGCCAATAAACCCTGCAAACTGTAGCGTAGGGTCTTAAGGGTTTAAGTAGTCGTCCCACCAATTATTTTTGGACTAATTACTAGTTCAGTGTTACACGGGATGAATGACCAGTGTTTGGTCAGTAAAACAATAAGAGAAGAGAAGAACCAGAGTAGATCCGCTTGCGAGTCAGGTTTCACTCGACTCAGTGCGCCAAAAGGAAACTTTAGCTTCTCCTCTCCAGCGTAGGCTAGACCTGAATCATTAATTCATCGCAAGGTAGACTGACTCAGCGGTAAAAATTAATGAATAAATAAGTATAAAAATGTTTTTAAAAAAACCCACATTATTGACTTTTAACGCCCATTACTGAGCGCAGAATTAGGAATTCTGGCTCAAAACCTATGCGTAAAAAACCACAATTTACACACACACACACAAAAAGAAAAGAAAAAAAAGCACTATTTAAATCCCAGTCAGTGGTGTTTTATTTGTTTTATGCCATTTTAATTATTTTTTTCGTCAAGATTCAATTTGGAGTTCTCCCAAGAGTGCCTGGAGTCGATAGTCTGTTAATATAAACCTGTTAAAAGTCCAGCCAAAAATATAAAAAAATACGTACATTACGACATTTTCTAGCGCATTAAATTGTTTTCTGTACAATTTCATTACTAAAAGTAACCTTTACTTACCTGTGTTGATATGCAAATAGCGAAGATAATCACTCCAAGCTGAACGATCGTCATTTTGGCCATTTTTATATTTAATTTGAATAAAAAGAAAAGTTAAAATATTTGTTTAATTTGGCCAGAATACGGCGATTGACCACAGCTGATGTGTCTGCGTATACTGCTAATAAACTGGTGGCGGCGTCAGCGGTGGCATTTTATAGCAGCAGCGACGGTGGACCTGTGACGTCATGACGCACGAGTAAAAGTTCCCTTAAAGCTGTGTGTGCAAAGTGACGAGGAACAGGATGTTTGAATAGCTCAACATCATTTTCTCACGTCACACATGTTAGTTATAAAATGTAACATCGCCATAATAAGGATATGGATCATTTTGATGAAGAATAATTTAGTTTGTTTCTAGTAATACGTTCTTCTTCTTTGTTCTTGTTCTCCTTTTTCTTCTTCGTCACCGTCTTTTTCTTTTTGTTGTTATTAATAATACCATATGACGCAACATCCTTTGTTTCTGTTGTCATAACCACAACTTTTAAACCTGATTTATTCGTGTGATTGAGATGATTCATCCTGTTTGGTTTAGGATATGACATCAATGGCAATACAATAACATAGATACTGTATATATATATATATATATATATATACATATTGAGTAATTTTTAGCTGCACTGTGTCGCTATCAAAACATTCAGCAGGGATACGAAAGGTAAACTGATAAGTTACTGGAACCTGTTGACAGAACGAGCAGGTGAAGCGTCTGTGAGTGTGACACTAGTGACATCTAGTGTTGAAATAATAGGTTTCGTAGGTAACGCTGAGAGTCGTGGTAGAGTCAGAGAATTTGACTTTATTTTTTCGGTAGACACCAGCTTCAGGAACGTATCGTACCAGAGACTCTTCAAGAAAGTCAGTGACCAGCTTTTTGTACCAAAACAAATGTTCTGTATCAGCAACTAAACCCACACAACAGGCAGTAGTTTGTCTCAAGACGTCACTGGCAAACTCAAAATAGAACTTAGTCACGGATAAATGCTCCGGTACTGCTTTTTGGTTGTTGTTTTGATTCAGCGTTCGTCTAATCATTTCCTCTTTCCAAATCCGTTCCTAACTCTCTGTTGTTCTTTGGCTGCAGGCTAGTTGTTATTTGTCTTCAATTTTCTTGTTTTAACCTTCTTTTATGAGTAGTTTTGACATTTTTATAGATAAACAAAAACAAACAGAAAATACGGTTAATATTAAAGATGATGTTGCCGTACCAGCCAACTGATTACAACTTTGGTTATAGCCTCCCCTGCTGGGAGTGAGGCAGAAAATCTCGAGTAAGCATATGTAAGTAATGAAGAGAAGAACTGCAGTACTGTGTAATGAAGTTATGAGTAAAGGTATTTTAAAGTGACCAAGGACATTAAGGACGATAGCAAAGACAGTGGTTAGGTGCAGTCTGAGTGGCTGATGGGTTCAGAGGGCATTGTGGGGTTTGTGGATATGCCATGTGACAGAAGGATAGAACACCTCTGACATCACCAAACTCCTGAGTGATGTAATAACATAAGATATTTTATTCCCTTGCGTCTTTGAACGGGAGTGTCACAGCAGTAAAAAGTCATTTCCTGTTCTTTGGCTTCTTACTCACATAAAGTTACTTTTCTGGGCGTTATATTTGACGTCATAGTCCTTGACGCATGTGAACACTCCCTCAATGACTGCTGCAGCCTAACATACATCATATGATTGACAGCTGTGTGTTTTTTCCCTCAAAACAGCCCCATTTTATCGGCTTGTTTATCCATCGTCTACTGACATCTCTGCTCTTCTAATTAAGAATAACACACACTGCACTATTAATATATACCAAAACAAATGTGTCAAAGAAGTAAAAGTCAGTTTTTAGTTTGCTCACAACAGTCCAACTGCAAGAAATCATCTGGAACTTGAGGCTTCTTTTTTGGGATATAAAATATTTTGGCCATACTCTGACCCATATCTGTCAGGAGTCACACTGTGATGTGGCTCAAATACGGCATGGAATGGTCGCACTGGAGTAGCTTCCTCCTGTTTCTGGGCAACAAGCTGCTGACAGACCAGCCACATGTCAGCCAAAAAAAAAAAAAAAAAGAATAAAAAAAAAAGAATAGAATTGACCCAAAAATGCTGTTTTTGGTGATGTGCTGATTCCACACTGCCAGCAGCATTTTTAGCTTTTCTAGGAGCATTTCCAGGAAATACGGTAGCCTTTCTAAAGATGACAGTTAACCCTAAACGATGAATACTGCATTCAGAATATGTGGAGAGAGCGATCATGTATAGATACTTTCTCTCCTACAGAAACTACATAAACCTTGGACATGGAGTGTGTGTTGGACTGGCCTGTCTGCAGTCCAGAAATGTTGCCTGATAAAAATCACTGTCTTGAAGGGGAGAATAGCTGAGCTGTGCTACAACATGGGACTAAAATTATACTACAAAACTGAAAACCTCAGTCTTTATGTTTCCTCCCCCGCCTTCTCCCCCAACACCCACGGTTGTGGTAGAGAGAACTAATGTGTTCTGCAAAATGCAGGTCCAGTTCCAGTAGTAGAAAGATGATGAAAGATGCAGGCAAAGTTCTCTGACAAGTAAACATCACCCCCTTGTGGTAATAACCATATATTATTATTATTATTATTATTATTATTATTATTATTATTATTATGGTCATTTTTGTAAAAGGAGAAGTTGACTGTTCAGTAAATTGTATGTCACAGGTATCTTCAGTTATGACAATAATCATCCTCCAAACTGTGGGATGTGCTCACTCTAATTATGTGTCTGTGGAGAACAACACTCGTGGCCCAGGGTTCTGATTGCGTCCAGATGTTGGTAACTGTAGACCCACAAACACTGCCCTGAGTCCTCTCTGTCACTAGTGTAAATGGATTTCCAGGGACTAAGTGAGACGGTCTTATCCTCTTCTTCTTCACTCACCCAGAGGAACCTACAGGGACTGCGCTCCCTGCAGAGGCACCAGATGTGAGCTGTTATGGAGAGGCAGTGCAGGAGAGAGGGGCCTTTTGTCAGGCATCAGATAAGCCCTGTTCCCAAAGCCGGCTCAGATCGGGTATCATCAGCGGGTCTACGAGGGGGCGAAATCCAAGCCTGCTGCTCTGGATCGAGTTTCTGTTTACACGAGCGTGGTGCAGGATTCCTCCAACCAGAGCAGACCCAGGACGGCTGGAAACATGGAGACGGGGAAGGAGAGAGGCGCTGAGACAGATCTACTGTTTGGAGTACCTGTCTGTCTCTCTGCAGGAGCTTGGAATAAACCAGAGGGACAGCTTTCGAGGTGAAAAGGAAAAAGGAAAATGGAAAGGAGATCTTTACACTTCTGATTGAACGCAGTGAGAGACAGGACTAACCTGGTGTTGGTCACAATCGGACCTTTGATAGAATCTGACTCAATAAAAAGCTGCGTGATGAAATCAACTGAACTTGATCATCTCCATCCCGTCTCCACTGTGGGCAGAGAAACCTGATACTGTAACCAATCCACAGCCTGGCCTTTACCATCAGGAATAACCCTGAGACAAATGTTTATGTTTAAACCTCTCTCTGTCTCTGTTTTACACACACACACACACAGACACACACACACACTGATCAAACAGATGCCATCTGAGAAAGCCCCAAACATTCTGCCATGGTATCGTTTGACACACATGGCTCTTTTCATCTCTTTATTTTAAGACAAGAGTACACAGACAGTGTTTGTACTGTGTCCCCTCAGATAAAACACAGTCTTTGCATTCCTTATGAAATGTATCTGTTCAGATTTGGGAGGGGTGGGCGCCAGGTTTTGGGTTACACCAAATCAGAGGGCCCTCCCTTTCCTTAAACAAGCTGCAGCATCAAGTTGCACAGAGGGAGCAGGACTTGGACCGGCAGCCGGTTATTCATCTTTCAAAATAAGAAAAATGTAAAACAATATTTGGGTTTAGGCAAAAACCAAAATATATGAAGGTACGGGTGAAATGTGTGGGAATAATAAAATAGATAATTAAATAAATTAATTCTCAAAATTAGCAGGATACTAGCAATACACATATTTTTGTTGTCATCAGATGCCCTACGTACACGAAGGTTTTAAAGTTATCCATTCATATTTACTTTACATTTACTTATCTATGTCCATAAATATGTGCTAACCACTCATAGCTATTGTTTTTGTTTTAGTACATTTTACTTATCTATGTCCATAAATATGTGTTTATGAGCTTATTCTGTACATTTGCTAATATAATTGTTGTTTTGATTGTTTTTTTGTTATTTCCCAGCAAAATATTAGTTTAAGTTTATGTGTTGTGTCCTTTACATACAGTATGTTCTTCATTAATTTATTTTTTTGCAGTTCTTCATCTCTAGTTTTATTGCTCATTTTGCAGCTAGATTAGCTACATTGACCTGCCTACAGATTTTATTGGTTAATTTCAATTTAATTTTCTAATTTTTTTTTTTTTAATTTCAGCCTTTTAAGGCTAACTTTTAGCTATTGTGCTATGGTTTATTTCTGGGCTGTGTTTGCTTTCAGCAATTAATGACTTACTGTTATTTAGTGTATGCTTTTTTTCTTTCCATATCTAGTTATTTGTTAAAATACTTTTATAAACCTTCAAACAACATTGGCTGATTTGTAGCTATTTCTCAGGATAACATTCTAATTATATTATTAGTTATTACGCGTAAGTGTAGTTTATTGATTATCAGTGATGGTTTACGTCGAAAGCTCTGGCCGGAAGTGACACAACAGGTACTGGTCCCAGCTTGACAGCAGTGGGCAGGAGCGAGTGAGGCTTGTAGAACAGCAGAGAGCAGCAGCCTGGAGCGCACGCATGTTCAGTGGACTCGGATGGTGTGAAGCAGCAGATGAAGGAGTCAGACGTCCGGGAATGACAGCGGCTGTCACTGCACCGAGTGACAGTTTTCACTCTGATTCACGCTGCTAGAAGAACCGTTCCAGCTGACATCCAAAAAAACACCGATCCGGATTGGATCAAGCCAGACCGGGACTATGCCAGAGATGGAGAAGGGGAGACCACCTGAAAATAAACGCAGCAGGAAACCCGCACACCCCGTGAAGAGGGAGATCAACCAGGAGATGAAGGTGAGACTTTGTTTGTTTCTCACACTCAGATCAGGGTTTTCTTTTATTTTTGGATCCAGTGATCACTTTTACGCGCTGAGGCAGAGTCGGCGGCGCACAAATCTGTGCTGGGATTAATCTCACACGTACATGTTTGTTTTTAATGAATGCTCTCCTTGTGTCTCTCAAGGGAAAGTGTAACTCACTCTGCTGTTTTAGCCAAAAATCGTGTGCGTAATTGCGCACGGGCTCGAGGAAAACCGTAAACACAGGACACAAAACTAGAGCTTTAGGAACATAAAACAGAGATTTAGATACTTTTAAGGATGCAGTTGTTATCTTTATAAGTGAAGGAGAGTTACAGTCCATAGTCCCTGTTCTTGTTATGACGCCATGTCAGGCCAGCTGTGGCCAGACGCGCAATCTCTGAAGTCCAAGCGCAGATCCAGATGTGCGTCACATCTTCCCCGCTCCTGCTGTGCGCACACTTGCT